GGAGCGGGTGCCGCGGGGGCGGCCTTGCCTGGTCCCAGGTAACTCCCGGCCTCTTCCCGCTCGCGAAGGCGGGCTCGGACCCTGCCAAGGGGCTAAGGGTCTGTCGCGGTCGGAGACGGGGCCTGCCTGCCACCTTCGGCCTTTCCACAAAGACAGGTGGCCCCACGCGATCGGTGTGGGTGTCACCTGCAGCCCCTGAAAAGAAACACGGGTTCCTGGGACTCCACAGGCTCTGTAGGAGATCCCAGGCATTCTGTTTCTCACAAGCTCCCTCCCCACGGTTTTCATTTTTCCCCATCAAGTTTTGGGAAATACCCAGGAGACACCTGTACGTCTTTAATATCCCAACTCAAGCGCACCTTCCTTGGGGAAGGCTACTGGGACCCCGAGAGTGGGGGACCCTCCCATCCCTTTCCTTTGAGAAACTCCCTTAGCGAGTGCACGCCTCTCCTGCGAAACAGCTGCTGCTGAGACCTAAGCACATCAGACTCACCTGGAGGAGGAGGGAAAGCCTGGGCTCCTGGGCCCCCCTCAGGGTTTCTGTGTGCAGGGGAGGCTGAGAGGGTGTGTTTCCAGTCAGCTCCAGTCCCGTTCTTGGCTGTGTGGTTCTGACAGCCCATCTGGCCCAGTGCCTGACTCAGACCTCCAAGAACCAGTGACTGCACTGGGCGTGAGGAACTCGTCTCACTCGTTCGCTGGATTGTCGGCGTCACTTGTTGGGCAGTAGTCCTTGTGTATGGCACCTAGGCTGTAGCCAACACCCAGCGAGAGGAGGCCTGCTAGGAAGACATGCTAGGAAGATCTCTGATCCTCCCCGCTGGGTGTACAGCATGGTCCAGGGAGGCTGCTAGAGGAGGTGCAGGTTAAGCTTAGGAAGTCTAAAGAATCCATAGGTCATTCTTCTCTTTGATTCCCTTCCCTGTGAACTGAGGCCAGTGTCACTTCATCCCCAACGGGCCTTTCTATTCAGAGTCACCTAGCTAGAGGCAGGATAGGTCCCTGGTCTTCCCAGGATGGCTTTGGACTCAGATTTAAGTTGAATTCCTGGCCCCATACCTTCCCTGCTGAGCTATCTGGTACGCTTTTAGCCTTGGAGAGTGCGCTCCCTCTGAGAAGGATCCGTGCTCCCTGCCTGTCGTTCAGGCTCATCATAAAGAAGGCCTTGCACTGCTCCCGACAAGGCTTCAGTCTCGCGTTTACTACAGGCTCAAGCTCCCTCCCTCTCACCCTTGCCCTTGGCTCCAGCCTCATTCCAGCACACAATTGGCAAATGACAGGCCTGTGCTTCTTTTCATACACCCTGCAAACTAAAAATGGATTTTACATCTTTAAATGGCTGAAAAAAATCATGAATTTGCAAGCTCTATAAAAACCCAAGTGTTAGCACCCATAAGTGAAGTTTTATTGAAACACAAACTGTTCTAAGTACAGAGTTGGGTAGTTACGGCAGAGTCCCTACACCCCACAGAGCTTAGAATACTTACTGTCTGGCCCCTTATAGAAAAAGTTGGCCTTAGCTTTGCCCTCGAACATCACCCTGCCTCTTGGTGTCTCGGCCCCTAGGCAGAGTCCCTTGAAGATGGGTGTGGGCAGCTCCCAAGTCATCTCCCAGCTCTGGTGTAAACGTGGTGCCCAGTAGATACCTCAGTGTTGGGGCAAATGGGCCCGCAATGCCCGCAGGTAGGGCCATGTCATATTTCTTGTTAATTCATGGTTTTATAAAACTAAGTCATTTCTGCAGGCATGGCACCGGGAAGTAAACAGGTCACTATGATGCAAAGGATTGTAGGGGTGAGCCCAGGACAGTGGACGGACAACTCTTCTTTGTTTTCCTTCTTCAGAGGGTGCTCACATTGTTGCCTCACAGTCAGGAGAGGGGCAGTCGCAGTATACGTGGAGTGCTTAGAAAAGTCCCATACCACAGAAGCACGTGGTGGCTTGGCCACTGCTGACCTCTCAGGCTCCTCAGGGCTGTGGTGGAGAGCGCAGGAGGGTTGCTTTTGTTTAGTCTGCCTTGTTTGGTCTGTCTGGAGTTTACCTGGTGACAGAAAGTGGCACAGGTGCAGGCTCAGCAGTCCAGGGATGATTCCTGGGGAAGGCACCCCTGAAATTCGAGCTGGCACAATCTGTAGGGCCTGAGCCTCCTGGATTGCATGGGACTGAGAGCGCCCTGGGATGCAGCGCTTCCAGCGTTAGAACTGGGCAGTCAGGCACCCTGTGTCTCTGTACAGCCACTGGTGCCCGTCCAGTTCCGTGGGACAGCAAGGTTCCATGGACTCTTGGAGGCAGGGGATCGTGGGGCACCCCAGGGGGCAGCAGTGAAAGGAGTGTGTGAGGGGGTCCCACCCTGAGGAGCCCTGTGGCTGTTACTGAAAGGCCCTCCCTGCTGCAAGGTGGCCTTGATACTCACACTGTCGGCCATGTCTCTCAAACCTCTAGCAGCTTCTCTTTGGAAAGGTTGAGTACTGGAGATGCAGTCTGGTGAGAAGTTCCCCTGCCCCCCAGCTCCCCTATCTGTAGGCTGAGCTGAGGGACAGAGCATCCCCCCCAGACTGCACTGGGTGGCAAAGTTCTGAGGCAGGAGCTGCCCCAGGAACAAGAAGTGCAGTAGCCAGGCGGGGACAGTGGGGAGCAGAAGAGCTGGAGAGGGAGACCATTGGTGCCATTGGCATGGCCAAGGAAAGGCTGGAGGCTGTGGGAGGGGAGGCAGCATGGAAAGCTGAGTCTTTTGCCTCCCTCTAGCTGGACGTCTTAGCAGGTCTCCTGTTCACCTTTCCTGGGTCTTTGTATATATGTGGATGGTACAGGGGATTGAACCCTGGGCCCTCAAACTGAGCTACATCCTCATCCCTTTTTTTATTTTTCACTTTGAGACAGGGTCTTGTTAAATCACTGAGTTGGTCAGGCTGGGCTCTGACCTGCAGTCCTCCTGCCTCAGCCTCCCAGTCCTTCAGTTCCTGAGGATAGCACCTCTACCAGCAGTCTAGTTAGGGCCATTAATAGAATATGGCAGTGTATTTTTGGGACGACTGTATCCTCTATCCCTGAGGAACTAGAGCGAAATCTGGAGACCGTCTCAGAAAACCCCAAGTGCATCCTGCCTGGGGTGGACACCCGAGGGTCAAGAGCAGCTTGACTGGCTTCCCTCAGCCAAAGCCCAGGCTCGCTCAGCCCTGACGATGGAAGCAGAGCATGCAGAAGGGCTAGCAGGCTGTCCGTCCCTTCGTGCTGTGTTTGGAGAATATTTTTTACACAATTGCATTTTGTGTGATTTGCGACTGGCCAAGTTTTGCTTTCAAGGAGAGTCACTTCCCCAGGGGAGTGGGAAGAGAATTGTGGTTAATATGTCTTTCATTCACCCTCCTGGCAGCCTGACCGCTCCTTGATTTGCTTGTGTGCTCCGTGGTGGTCAGATACAGTCGGAGGTGGCACGAATTGGTCCTGGGAGACTGGAACACTGTAGCTCTGTGTGGCAGTGTGCTGATGCCTGCCCAACTTTTTTGGCAACACTGAGGGAAAACTGGATTTGCTTTTCAGCTGGCTAGGCGTGGCTTGGCAGAAAAAGAACCCACCCTGTTCACAGAAACTAGTCAGATACTCTGTGGCATCCAGCAAAGAACAGAACTAGAGAAAAGCTTGGCGTTTCTGCCCCTGCTTGGGCAGTCCGTCTGATTAGAACTCACCCTGGCATGGCGTTGTCTCCATTCCTTAGGCATGAGAACATTGTATATCACAGTTCTATTTAACATATTAAAACCAGAAACTGAGGAAGGACCGAGGTTCATTTTCCAGGCTAAATATTGAATCCATTCATACCTATGTATATTCTGTCACTGCCTTTGTTTTGATATCTATTAACCAAATTTTAATTTAACTAATTTATTCTTTGTGGCACCAGGGATGGAACAAACCCAGGGCCTCTTATGTATGAGACAAGCGCTCTCTCACCGAGCTGCACCACTAGCCCTGGAATTTTGCCGTCTCCGATTTCTTTCTCCAGTCAAGTTCAGCTCTCACGGGGTACCCAGGGTTGTCCCCGGGTCTCCCTGTCCCCACGAACACTACCGCAGGCTTTCCTCCTTTTCCTAGGGAAGTACGTGATGGTGATGGGAGTGGTGCAGGCCTGTAGCCCGGAGCCGTGCCTTCAAGCTGTGAAGATGACAGATCTCTCTGACAATCCCGTCCACGCAAGCATGTGGGAACTGGAAGTGGAAGATTTACACAGGAGCATTCCTTAGGTGACGCCGGCGCCTGCATTACAAACAGCCTTCACCCCGTAACGATCTCAGCTCTGACTGTGGGTTTCGTGGACAACACTTACGTCTAGTTTATTGACACTGTCTATTTCTCTAGAGATTCTCAGAGAGTACTACTTGGGTTGGGTGCAGGGATTTTTAAGAGTTAGGAGGCTCCGCTGCCCCTTGCTTTGGCTGTTTGTTGATGAAAAGCAGATGCTAGGATTGCAAGTGTGCATGCACCACCATGCCCGGGATGTTCGGCTCTCCCTCTGCTTCAGGTCCCACCTGGATATTTAGGGTCCATTTCGGTTAGCTACCTTCCTTCATGGGGTCGGCGGCAGTTTTAGATGTTGTCAGAATTCCTCTTTGAAATTAGAACACCGAGACTGAGAACAACTTTCGTTATTTTACCTAAACTTCTGTTTCGTAACTTTGTTGCGACACAGCGAGGAAGCAATCTCCTGGTTTACAGCTCTTCTGTCTTTTTGTATGGAATGAATTGTGTTCCGATTGCACTGAGTGTTGGATTTCTGCTCCTTGCTTCTATATTGCACACGCTGGATTTGTCTTTAGCTTATAAACACCAAGGAAGCCATATCATATTACAATATTGCAGTAGAATTTTGCCCGAACCATTGATATTGTACTACTAAATTTTTATGTGCTGTATTTTTTAAAAAAATAAACTATTTTTAAAAGCGGTTTTGGGTTTGCAGAAAAATCAAGCAGAAAGTATATATATATATGGTTCCATGTGCCCCACACTCTCCTCCTTCCCAGCCTCTATTACTAACATCTGTAATTAGTGCGATACGTTTGGGTCCATTGGTGGGCATTTGATTACATTGTTACATTGACATATTCTTATTGGCCAGCCTTTACACTAGGGTTGTCGCTGTGTGCTGCATTCTGTGGGTTTCGCAAATGCATAATGCCGTGGATCAATCACATAAAAACCCTCCCAGTTCATTCCCTCTGTTCATCACCCTCTCTTTCCTGGTTTGCCTTTTGCAGAGTATCATCTGGTTGGTTCATGTAGTACGTAGCTTTTACAGCCTGCCTACTTTCACTTAGTATGCATTTAAAGTTCCTCCGTGTCTTTTTGCAGCTTGGTAGCTCATTTCTGTCACCAAAATGATGCTCCGTTATATGCATGTACACTTCGTTCATCCAGTCTCCCTGTGGAAGGACATCTGGTTTAGATCCCGGTCTTTGAGAATCATGAAGGGAGCTGTTGTACAGTTTTGTGTGGACAGAAGTTTTCTCCTCCCCCGGGTGAGTGCCTCTGGGTTCCACAGCTGGCTCAGGGGGCGGGTCTGCAGCTGGCCTTCTAAGATGGCGCCGGACTGTCTCCCAAACTGGCTGTATTTATGTGCACTGCCACCAGCAGTGTATGAGAATCCTTCATCAGCATTTGTCAATGTTAATGTTTTAGATTTTCTGTGTTTTAAAAACCATCAGTGTTTTAAAGGTAGGGCAAAGTGGAAAGTGCATTGTTTACTGACCTGCGCTTGTTGACTGGTGGAAGCTTGTGTCAAGCTGGTTTATGTCACAGTGTGGAGATTTTCCAAGCAATACCGCTGCACATGAACGCATGTTTTGGAGCCCTGTAGATCTGAATTTGAACCCTTCATCTGTTGCTAAATTTGCTGTGTGTCTCTGAGCAAGGTATCTAACCTCTCTGTCCTTCATGTCCTTATCTATAAAATATGTCATACCTAGCTCATGGCATGGGTGTAAGGAATAAGAATGTGTTTAGTTTTACATAGTGCTTAGTATATGGTAGGCACAAATTATTGTTGCTGTAAAGCAGTAAATTCTTGCTTATATCCATCATTGCCTTTGTGTGTGTGTGTGTTTAAATTCAAAGAAAATTGCAGAGCTAGTGCAGTGTCCATATTCTTGCACCTACCTTCCCTAGCCATTAACATCTTCTGTTAGTATGGCGCCTTTGTTCCAATGAATGGGAGAATAAGGAGACCTTATTAACTTAAATCAGTAGTTTATTCAGATTTGTTCTCTCTCTCTCTCTCTCTCTCTCTGATGTCCTTTTCTGTTCCGGGGCTCCATCCGGGACACCGAGTTCCGTCCAGTTTTCCTGTCCCCTCAGGCTCTCTCTCCTCAGGCTTGACTGCCCTGAAATGTATCTTTTCTGTGGTTCGGGGGATGGATACCAGGGCCTCACAGAAGCCAGACAAGCGCTCTGACACTGAGCCGAACCCACGGCCCCAAATGAATTTGGTTGCGGGTCACTGGGTCTCTGTTAAAGGATTCTTAGGACAAAACTTTGCCGTGACCCCATTTTCGTTTACCCAGCCCGGGGCCTGGGTGTGAGGCACACTCCCAAGGACCGTACCCCTGTTGGGGTCCCCCTCATCTGGAATTCACTTTTCTTTTTTCTGGAGAGCTAACCCAGGCTGCCAAGAAACATGCTGACCATATCCTGCCTAACACGTCCTCCTCTGACTTCTGGCAGATGACCCCACACTGAAAATTGCTGGCTGGGTCGCCACTGTTGCCAGGCAGTCAGTACATCAGGAGTGTGCAGGGTGGGCAGAAGAGGCTGCTGTGTGTCTTGTCCGAGAGCCCCCCGAACGGCTGCTGGCCCTGCGCTGGAAGTATGCCACCTTGAGCTTGTGGTTTGTTTCTCCAAACATTAAGAACTCTCACTCTTTCATCTCGGGTTTCTTCCTTGACATCACCAAATGAAAATAGATCCGAAGGCTCTAGGTTGCTGGTGCCAAATCCGAGTCATCAGGCTGCTGCCAGACAGCGAATGACTGTGACCGCTCAGGGGCTGGGGCAGCGCAGCTTCCCTTTTGAAATTAGCTCTTTTCTAAGAACTGAAAATAAGCAACCTAGCCTGTGACTTCACTTTTCTTGGAACTGCTTTACATTACAAAAAAAAAAAAAAAAAAACCCAAGCCCTCATTTAGCTGGTTTTGGATTGCCTGAGTTCCCTAATTCTTCCTGTTGCATGTTCTTGTAAAGCTGAAGATTTACTGCAAAATCCGTTAGCCTCGGGTGAAGCAGGGGAGACACTGAGTGTGTGAAGTCATTGTTTTGTCTTGTGGCTTTATTTGTATGTGATTTCCTGAGAAAGGACAAAAATAACGTGGAAGAGACACAGTGCAGAACCATCTTCGGATTCCAGGGGCCACAGCCCTGAGATGTTGGGCCACCAAATGGGTTAGGGCCAGGATTGCTGTACCTCAGCCGTTGTTGCCATTGTTTCGGCCCACAGTTACTGAGAAGCATTTTGCATATGGAGGGGGTGGGGAAGGCACGGAGGGGAAAGGGATGAGAAAAGAAGATGTGTTACGGACATGTTCCGACTCCCCACGATGATTATAATCATAATTGTAATATTTTAAAAAATTAGAAAGTTCCTGAGAAACAGCCTGTTGCAAGGACAAGGCAGGAAGGAGATGCCTCTTCAGCCATGGTGACCTACATTTAGCAGATATTTTGGAGCCTGTGCAAAAGAACATCATCACGGCAAAAGAACAGCCCCAGCCTGCTTAGGATAAGGAAGACAGCCATGTTGTAACACCTGCAGTCCAGTCTTGATCCACCCTCCCCTATCTGACCTTGGGCTTGAAGGTCAGCCCGTGAAGTGGAAAGAATTCGTCTTTCATGAGATGGTTGCCACTAGGATCTTGGGACCTAGATGCCCTTTCTGGATGGGGATCCCTGTAGATTGGCACATAAGTTGTTCTGAAATTGCCCTCCTCTCTCACTCTCTGACATGACTGTGTCACTGCTCTCTGTATCTGTCCAACATGGGGCTTTGCCTGCCACACAGTCAGTACGGACTGGCTCTTAGGCTGGGAGACAGGGGAAGTAGGAAGGCACAACGTTCTTGAATTTACATCTGGCTCACAGCAATTTTCAAATGAGGGGAGCCCCTCAGAGGCCTTTTGGATCAAGCACCCTGTGTAGTTTATGTGGGGCCTGAGAGTGCCCTAAGGTCGAAAAAGAGAGTATTTGGGAAGGCCTAAAAGGATGGAGGAAAAGGAGTGAGGCAGCCGAGTCCAAAAGAGGACTTTCCCTGGTTTGCAAACAATCTGAAATGATCGTCCCATGAGAATCACTGAATGTTGATAAAAATGCAAATCCAACTAAGAGTTTTGCTTTGCTAGAAACTTCCTCCACATTGCTACATTTTTTTCCCTTTATCTGGGAGATGTGTTTTCCCCTCTTACAGACAGGAAAACTTCAGCCATGGAGATTAAGCCCTTTGTCCTGGGGCATCCAGGCAGCAGGCCACAGGGCCAGTTTGTGAACCAGTCGGTTGTGTCTCCCACCTCCCTGTTGTCAGGGACCCTCTGTTGTGGCAGGACCTTCACTGAGCAGCATCTCCTCAGGGGCAGTTCTGGGGCGGGCGCTAGCACCCCCTGCTGGCCTGAGCTGTCTGAAATGGGATGACAGCCAGTGACCAGAACGAAAAGCCACAGAATGAAGTAAAGAAAAAATGAGGCCAGGGGAAGTTTTACAGCCATCCACCCTGGGAGATTTGCCAACTGTGGCCCGACCGGGGTGGGGGTTGGGGAGGATGCTGGATTTGACCACCAGATGAGTTCTTAGGGCCTGATGGTGAATCCCAGCCCTACTTATGAACTGGACGATCTTGGGCAAGTTACTTCATTTCACCGAGCCTTAATCTGGAGAGGAGGGATGATGGTGGTCAGTGAGGTTAAATAGCTTGTTCACAAGGCTGATGACCAGAATCCAGGCAGTCTGAGCAGGTGTTTAAAAAATGTGTGTTTCCTTGGCCTTTCTGCTACCAATCATACACTGAGCATCTGTGTGCTGAAGGCTCCAGGAACCCACAGTGAGCAAGACACATGATTGCTTCCTGCACAAATTAGGCCTCACCTCCCTTTTACACCCTGCCTGATTTCCCCATCTCAAGGCCCTTGTTTAATCACATCTTCAAAGTTTGGCTACCAAAATAACATTCACAGGTTCTGAGGATTAGATTGTGAACATCGTTCCAATGCCCAGGGTATTCTGCCTGCCTTGCCTGCCCTGCAGCCCTCTGAGATGTACATCTGTGCAGAGCATGTTCAGCCCCAAGGTCCCCAGTGCCTCACTGCAGTGCAGCCTCGACTTGGGGTCTCCAAGCCCCCCAGCTCTCTTCGTCATCCCTCCATCTGGCACCAGGGAGCTCCAGGTGCTGTCTGACCTGTGTATCTGTGGACCTGGAGAGCTCATGAAGCAAGTTATCTGCTCCCCAAACAATGGGCAGCCACCCGGAGGGTGCAGGCCAGTTCTCTTCTGATCCAAGGGAGCAGCGCAAGGCATGGGCAAGAAAGATAAGAAAAAGCAGGCGCACCTGTAATCGCAGCTACTCATGAGGCCGAGGCAGGAGGAGAATAAGTTCAAAGCCAGCCTGGGCAACTCAGGGAGACCCTCCCTCAAAATTTTCCAAGGGCTGGAGGTGGAGCTTGATGATCGAGAACTCACCTAGCATGTATTAAGGCCCTGGGCTTAATCCCCAGCACGGGGGGGGATAAAAGTAGCAGCAGTTTACTTAACGCCTAAGCTTCCCTCCCTGCTGGCCCAAGAGGACAGAGAAACGTTTCTTTAAAATGTCTGTGTGCACCTTACTCTGAAATAAAGACAAGGCAGAGCCAGGGTTTCTGCCCGGCAATCGCTAGTGCCTGATTTGGAACTGTATCAGAATGAGGCCCTGCCCTCTGGTCTCCCAGCACACCCAGGGCCCCCCTTGCACGTGAAGCTGCCCTCCAATTATGGCTGAGCCCGGCCTTCCAGCAGGTAGGACTCATGTTGGTGTTGAATGCTATGATTACTGGCCCCACCTGAGGCCACATTTTAGTTGGAATCCATGTGGGCTGGGATCAGCAAGATCTAAGCACTTAGAAAGCTTTTAGCCGGGCAGAGGCGAATGCCTGTGATCCCAGCACTTGGGCTGAGGCAGGAGGACTGCCACAAAGTCGAGGTTAGCCTTGGCTATTTACTGAGTTCCAGGGCAGCCTAAACTACATAGTGAGCCCCTGTCTTAAAAATATACATTTATTTTAAAAGCCCTTGGTTGATTCTTCTAATCCAGCAAGTTGGCAGCTGAGACCTGCAACTCCCTGGGCTCAAGACCTGGGGAGGGAAGAGCAAGAGCTGCTCCCACAGCACTGGTGGAGGCCTCCTCTGTGGGAACCGCGGAGTCCTGAGGACTAGGAATATGGGGCCACTCAGCCCCGAGGCCTTGGAGGCAGAGAAGCGGAGGAGAAGCCAACACAGAGGAACCAGGCCATCTCCTTCCGCGGCGTCCCAGACCTTCTCCCACGCTGGGCTGCTGCCAAGGATGTCAAGAGGTGTTACCAAGTTCCCTCATCTAAAGTGAGTCCATTTAAAGTCAGACACTAAGGAAACAGTAAAGTGTGTGGCATGTGGATGAGTAGAACATTTGCTTCTGCCCAAATGGGACGGAGCTGTGGGTTTAACACATTGGCCATTGGCCTCATGAAGCCATTGAGTACTTAAAACATGGCTAATGTGCCTGGTAGTTTGGCTGCCATTAGCAAATAGAAATACAGAGGCTTTCCGCTCCTTCAGGGTGGGCTGCGCGGAGTGGTTTCTTTCCACAATGGAAAGGATGGATAAAAACAGTAACTTTATAGTAGGGAAACCTGA